GAACGAGCACGTCACGATGGTTCCATATAGCAGCTGTTGTGTCCATCCTCTGTACATTTCTGCTTATTCTTTTATTACCTAATTCCATTACTTCCTGTTCGGGCAAACAGTTTCAACAGAGAACTAATTTCCTGGTACAGTATATAATTAGGAAATGGTATATGAAACCGTTTGTTTGGTTCATGCTACAGGACTATAACACCTCTACAGCTGATCAGCTCAGAGCAGTTTTCATGCTTATTTTCCAGCGAGCTACGAAGTCAAATTCCTGTTAAAACTGACTTTGCCATGAAAAACTGAGATTCAGGAGACAGGCTGCATGTTGCAGCTCGCAGAGTTCAGTGCACTGCTATTGTAACTCTAGACTGACGGCATGATGATAGTTCGTCTGGTGTGGGAGAGGTGGAGTAGGGGGTTTGCATTTTTCATTGAATGGCATGAAAACTGGATTAACTTGTTGGTTTATATGGTGACTGTGCGGTCACGTCACTGCATTGTGATCTTTAACAATCAGGTCTTTTGTCTGCAAAGAGGCGATGGGTGAGTGCAAATCTTAGATAAAGACTTCTATGCGTTGTACATGGAGGCATCCAGAACTAAAATTGTCACTTCGATGTCAGATGTGGATTAAAGTTTCATGTGCAGGCGCTCTGTCTAATAAAAACTGGCAGCTTCATCACTTCACAAGGGACACGGATCTGATTTAATTAGTTTTTGATTACTTGGGTGGGCTGCTGGTGCCAGCTGATACAAATATAAAGCACAAATGCTTCAGGTTTGACGGACAAGTCAGCATGTTGCAGCTGTGTGCTGGTATCCAGGCAGAAAAGCGCTGGAGTAGAGCACAGGGACTGGCACTGAACCTAGTGTCAGCCGCTGACTGAATACACAAAGCCGACTGGTTCAGGAACTGCAGGGCATCCCAAAACCTCAGACCCTTCCTTTCGTCTGCGTCACCGTCAGCCCTGCCGGGATTCCCCCATGACTCCAGCCCAAGGAATGAAGTAACCTGTGAGCTTTTTTTTTTTCCTGCATTTTTTGGCTGGATAACAGAGTTAAAGCCCCACGTGTCATACAGGGCCTTCAGTAAAGTAGCTTTTGGCACAAGAACAGCTGAAAGGCAGCCAAGCCACACAGTCTCCTACTTTAATGGCAGGAAAACTTGTGGTGTGCAGACACCGCTCTCATTCACTGTAATACAAACCATGCTGATACTCACAGGTGGGTTATGACTGAAACAAGTAACACAATGTAGTCCTTAAGGCAAAGCCCACGCCCTTAAGCCCCGAAGGGGGATTTGAAAGGAATGACAGCATCAAAAAAACAAAAAAAAAACAGCCTTTACAACCCTCGACAGGATTATAGTTTGATAATAGGAAAACAAACAGGGGTCAGACCTGTCTGTCTTGTCTGAGCGAGTTTGTCTGTCATTAATTCACAGCCACTAACCAGTTTAGTGGCCAACTGCCAGTGGCTGCCGCTCACTCAGCCGTGATGCTCGGAGGCAAACTCAGTAAGCTATTTGCATATTACACTTGCTGCTTCCAAATGTTCTTCAAACATCCTTGGGCTCAGATCAGGCATCTGTGATGACAGGAAACTGTCTGGACTTTTGCTTGCAAATGACTACACGAGCAGCCCTGCATCTTTACGTGTTCATTGAGCAAACTGAAACGCAGCGAGGTGTGAATCTACAAACAACACAAATCTCTCAGACAGTGAGCACAACTGTGGGTCACATGGATTGAACATGACTAATACACAAACCTGAGCAGGTTTCAATAGAGACTACATCACACACACTTGATTAAAGAAGAAGCCAGAAGGGACCACATTACGTGTGAAGAGAAGGAAGGCACAGTGAATACAGTCTGGGGAATCACAAGAGCACAACAGCAAGATAGAAAGTAGACACATCACCAGAAACCAAAGCTATGAGAAGACAAATGTGACCAGTGGCCAAGGAGCAGGACATGAGTCACCCACAGGAACACCAATATCAGGCTCATAGGGGGTTCTGTTATGATGGGAGTTTCTCAGTGGCTTGAGAAAGTGTCTGCAAAGCTCCACATGATATTCAAAAGAAGGCTCTATCACAGTTTTTTAAAATTACTTTAAAAAACAAACAATAAAATCCTATTTATTCGGTTTCTAAACTGTCAGAAAATAGCCCACACATTTCAGAGTAAATGCCTCAAATACCTTGTTTCACTTAAGCAACAGTTAAAAACTCAAAGGTAGTCAGTTAGCAAAAACCAGAAAGGCAGCAAAAGCTCCCAGATAGGAGAGACTGGGAGGTGCTGTGCAGTTCCTCCTAATAAATGATTGATTGTGGCTGATTGTTATGACAGTAGTTTTTGATTAACGTTCAGACGAGCAGGTATTTCACCACTGCCTGATAAGTTAATCAGTCTAATTTACTAAATAAATGCATCACATTGCAGCTACTGATTGTTCAGTTAAGGTTTGTTTCCGTTGCAGGTAAAACTCCTTTAAGGCAGAGAAGGCCTTTATTGAGGTAATACTACTTTAGATATTGACATATTCGTGTTTACATCAGCTAATGCCAACAGAAGTCTAAAACAGTCAATATTGACAACCTAAAACGTGTGCAACCACCACAGCTGTTTGTAATCTGGTACGTAGATGCTCCTCCACAAACCTGGCCTGCATAACGAACGCAGCTTTTAATTGTCATACTTTATTGTTGAAAACGTGTGAAACCACAAGGTCAGCTTTATATACTGATCAATCAGGTCGAGGCCTGCTGCTATTTCAACATGTCCCTTTGATGGGAAATGACAGAAGTTTCTACAAAAGCACAACACGTGCGTTAGTTCTTCAAAACAAGAGCCTTTACATAAACCACATTTCATCACAAGCAGCGCACTAATTAGGTCCAGCAAACATTATGCAAAAGCACGGGGAGGCCTTTTAAGACCTGAACTTGATCGCTGGCCATACGTTTCTAATCCACTATGGGCCAATCACAACCTAAATGCCCCCCACCCGCCCCGCTTGCTTTGCTGCAGCAGTGTTTCTCTCCACTGGAAAGCCTGGTGCAGTGAGGCATCGGATGCCATATGCCAGACTGGACCAAACAGATTAGTGTGGAAAATATTCACTGGTGATTGGAGCATGGTGAGGTGTGATAAGAACCCTGGAAATCTCCTTTAAAATAGCTCTGCAGCGTAGCATCTCACACTTTCTTTATACTTGAAGAAGAAGGACGTGGAGCCCAACCCGGCTGCTCAAAACTTATTTGCATTAAGATCCTCTTTACGAATTGTGTCGCCGCAAGAATCTAAAAGTAAACTTTCAACTTCATCCTGCTGGGGTTTGTTTTTTTCTGTTTCACGTTTTCGGGTTTCAAAATCTCATGTCTTCATCCATTTGAGACATACCGCAGCTATGTCGGAGCACTTATGGTAAAATAAACTTTCATCACGCAAAGAGCATTTCATAAGCGTCGTGTGGGCCAACGTGTCGTATGGTTGCAACAAAAATCCAGCCAGTGAATCTTAAACCGTGATTGTCGAATGGAAAAGTCTGCATTCGATGGAAATCTCCACCGAATCCCGACTGAACAACCGTTTTCAGAACACGCACGCTTTAAGGTCATTAAGACAAAAGTGCTAAACGTGGCTTTAAAATAAAACCTGCTTCCTGTGCCTGCCTGGACTCCCCCACCCCCACTTCTTGGTGAGAAACTTTAACACGAACCACAAGCCAAATGCCAGGCAGTTTTGGTTGTGGCTTCATCGGTTTCACGAATGCAGACGTAACGAGACGGCCCGAGGACCTCCGGAGCTCCTGGGAGGATGAGAAGTTCGCTGGCCCTGCCGACGTCACGCAGAGGAATAGGCTTGTGTACAGTGGATTTTCCCACCACCCTGCTGCAGGACTTGAAGGCGGCTCATTGTGTCGCTCCCCCCTCGACACGCCGGACTCGTCCCGTGGATGTTTTGACTTGACTCGTGTTGATGTCGAATGATGCTGACAGACTCTTTTATCCACCTACTCCACTTCTGAATTTAGAGGGATTTCACCTGTGGGAAACTGAAACAGAGCTTCTGCGAAATGATCTCACCTGTGTGCCTCTGAAAACACTATTTATGTGCTCTGGAACAAGGCCTCAGTTTGCTCTGCCTTCATCATTACAACTTTGTGAAAACCAGCTTGAAATTCATCCCTGAAGCCTCCCAGCTCTCTGCTGTCACAACCCCAACCTGACATCCTGGCAAACTTTCTCTGAAGGCCCAGCCGTACATGCAGCCACATAAACGGGCTTTTATATCTGAACTTAAAGGCCAATAGGATGTGCTTATGTTACACAATCACATAGTAGATGTTTAATGGCGCTGTAAAATGGTGGGTTCAACTTGTACAGGACGCGCCGCTCGCACCACAGGGAGCAAAAATCATTTAAAAATAATAAAAACAATTTAATTTGCTTTTTTTTTGTTTTTTAACCCCAAAATCTTCAACAACAAAAAACACACAGGTTTATCCGTTATGTCGCGAGAACTGGTTTCTGGCTGATGTGAAGTGAAGTTAGCGTTCAGCAGCATTTTGTGACATTAAATGAAGTTAACGGTCAGAACCGGAGCGTAGCTGCTAGCTGACAGTAAACACGGCTAGCTCCGAGCACGCTCACTTTTATTATTTACACTCAATATGTTCGGTTAGAAATCGTTGAAAACCGGCCCGAAAATATATATATATACATCAAACACCGTGGGTTTCATCAGAGAAAATAGTGCCCTTCCACTCGGCGTAGGTTAACGTACATTCGGCGGCCGACTCACGGCGTCCATCCGCTACCTTTGCAATAGCTATCGATCAGAGCGTTCGACTGTATCGATAAAAGAAAAAAAAAAAGAAGTGACGAACTGAAGCAGGAGAGAAATGAGGAAGCAAATGAAGAGGATTAAAAAAAAAAAAAAAAGCTAAAGCAAAGAGTAAAAGGAAAAGAAAAAAAAAGAGCATTATAAACTTACCGCATCGGCTTCCGTTCGGTTTTGACACTCTTTGGAAGCGGAAGAAACATTCCTGTTGTCCGCCTCCGAGTCCCGGGTCCCTCTCTGCCCCCTCTCCGGTCTACACGCTGAGAAAACGGCACCGAAGCGACGAAGAGCGGCGCTGCTCCGTGTGTTTGTCGGCTACAAATAAAGTGGTTTCATGTGACTGCATGATATCCACGCACTCTGCCTCGGCGTGTAATTGTGTTTTTTTTTNTTTTTTTTTTTTTTTTTCTTTCAGAGTTTTGAGCGTCGCTCCGACGCAGACGGACGGACAGACGAGACCGAAGAGAGAGAGGCGTGGAGAGACTCTCCGGCCTGCACAGTCACATCATTGGTTGACAAACAGCCATCAGATGCAAATTCCTAACCTCTGAATCAGCAGGGTCCAGCCCCCCGAGCACCCCCCACCCCCCGCGGCAGGGGATGTCGGTAAGTGCCGGGGTGTGAAGCGTAGAGAGGGGCTGGAGAGCTGGAGGAGGCTCCTGCTCAGGATGCACAGCTCCACTTTTTATTTATTTATTTCATTTATTTATTTATATCTACCTGCATTATTACACTACTGGGGGAAAAAAATGGATAAATCAAGTGAAATAAAAGCAGGTTTAGAAGCTCTGGCACATTGGTGGCTCTATATCCTGTGTTTATTCTGCTTTTTGTAGCTATTTTAAAAATCTAGAATAAATAAATAAGAAATAAACATAGTGCCGTGGAGCGCAAGACATTAACTGTGGTGGAAGCCAGAAGCCTGATTACTGTCCTGGAGTGGCCACTAAAAACAGACGCTTATTTTTACAGATTGTCTGTGAATCTGTATAAATTATAGCGTCTGGACCACCAAGAGAAAAAAAAAAAAAGAGAAAAAGAACAGTTACATACTTTGTTAGGTATTATTGGTCAAATAATTCCCAATAATAATCCTTTAAGATGTTTTTGCTGCTTTTACTGGTGAGAAATAGTGAAGTTTTTCAGCTTTTGACTGTCCAAGTAATTTTTATTTTTAATATTTGTGTTAATAAATAAAAAGAATGTGCAGATGAACAGATGATGCAACGAGTCATAATCTGCAGCACTGCACATTTACATATTTTCTGATGAAATACTGAGTACGTCTGGATCTTCAGGCCTTTAAATATCCTTTAAATTAAATAAAATTAGAACTAGTGAGGAACTCTGACCTGGAGGGGACGCACACGGGCTCACAAAATAAAACATGATGTTGAGCTAAATAAGTTTAGTTCTTTAAACTTTGGCGTGAATTGTGATTAAAATTAACATTTATTCTTCAGCATGGGCTCTGCAAGATTCTTTTATTGTACATTTTTGCATTACACATGTATTTTATTAACTTCATTTTGCATCATTTATCTTCTAATCAATCTAAACTTCGGTGGTGAACAGTGTGCTGCGTTATCATTTGGCTTCTGTGCTGATATTTATGGACGGTCCCTTGACTGAGAGCTGATTAATCCTGCTTAGTGTCAAAACTGCATCGACTAATTTGACGTACTCAGCTTTTAATATCACTGTTTTATGCGGTTATGGTTGATTTGGTTTGAGCTAAATTGTTGATTTTCATTACACTTGTCTGTGTTCATGTTTGAAATATGAAGGCGGTAAAATTGAGTTTAGGGAAGCTTCCCTCCACCAGCTCTCTGTTGACAGAAAACATGTGGACCTCTGGCAGCTGAATGGTACATTAGACTGAATTAAATCAGTTATTACCACTAAACACGAGATCATATCATTGGTGACTTAAATAACATGAGAAATACTGAAAATCCTGAATTCTGTTGCCTGTTTGTCATTATTAGAAACCCTCATTATTAGCTGGGAGTTGAAGAAACTGAATTAAACGTATCGGAAGTCTTTGTTATGTCACTACATTCAACCATTCAGAACAGATCCTTGTTTTAGTTGCAAACTCACTCAACTAAAATATCACATTAATGCATTTTCCTGCTCAAAATCCTGGTGTTTAGATGTCAAATACCAACAGCCCCTATGTGAAACAGCCATTAATCACACGTCTGACAATGAAAAATGATGAAGCACAATGTAAACAAAGCACTCATGCATTCAAACAGAACAAAATATGTGATCAAAAACTGCACATTTTGAATTCAGTTAAATCAACCCAGTGCGAGGAACAGTCCCTTCTGTCCTCATCTCTTCATTGTGGACGCCTTCCTGAAGGCCAGCTCTTCTTGTTCCCACGTTTGATTCTACGAGCCGTGAGTGCTGACTGGTCGGTAGCTGGTTGCAGCTGTTAACTAAAATAAAGAGCTCGAGATATTTAAAACAGTAAAGCGATCCTCCATGTGCCTCATCAGATGAAACGGGATCCGGAGCAGACGTGTGCTCATTGCCCCGGCACAGTGAGAGATGAAATTAAAATCAAATGGGCCTCTGCGGCGATGACAGCTATAATTTCACACGTGATACCAAAATAATTAAAGACGACTGATGCATTTTAGCCTAAATGAACCTCTGCCAGGGCGTGTTCCTTCCAGGAAATAACCACCTTTACGGCCACAATGATGCAGCCATTTAAAAAAACACAACAAGAAGTGGAAAAACAGGCGATGAGAAGCAATAATTCAGTCCTACAAATAATTAGGAAGCTAGACAAAACATAAAGCTTTAACCACTTCAGCTTAATTAATATTATGACATAAACAGAAAATGTTTTTTTTTTTTTTAGTTTTTCTGTTTTCATGTAAATACTGGCTGCTGTGACTTTGTGTGACTCACTGGTTGACATGCAAATGAGACAAAGGTTTGTGTGTTTAACACATCCAGCATCTTGTCCCTGACTCAGGCTTTAATCACGAGCTGATCAATTAGGTTTTAATGAGGCCAAATTACTCAGAATATCCTGAATAAAACTATTTTAACCCTCAGTGCACAGTGTCAGCTCAGTAAACACATCACTTAAAGGGTTTAATATGAAAGGATTTGTCATGTTTTGGGAGTTTTGAAGCCACCGATGACGACTTGGCCTCTTTGCTCTCGTGTAATTTTGAGGATTATTATATCAAAGTGCTGATTTTCATACGTCTTGAGCAGCAAACACATGCTGCAAACTCACCCGACTCGTTCCCTGTGTTTACATGATCTTGTTGTGCATCCTGTACGATCTCTTTGTTCGTTGGCCAAGAACAAATTTAAAGATGTTAAAGCAAACAGTTCATGCATTTAGAAGCACAAACAAAAAAGCACGTATGCAAAAGAGCCATCACAGTAAATAAAATGATCACATACTGAGCACCAGGATGAATTCAGATCCTTGTCATCACTAATGACCGCTGTTGCTTTGTGCTGTAGCGCCATCTAGTGGAAATGGGAGCAACTTCACAGATCCTGTGAAACTTGATGAAACAACTTTTTTGAGCGATCGTATGGTAACGTTTACCCAGAAGCAGCCCAGTTATTATCCTTTTATTGAAGTCACGTGAGCAAATTTCTGTTACTGGTGTCTTTATCATTTCTTGAAGGTTCTCACGCGTGTCTTTAGAAATGAGCTGATTTGTTTTTTTCTGTCACGTTAGATCAGGGGTGTCGAACTCTGGTCTTCGAGGGCCGCAATCCTGCAAGTTTTAGATGTTTCTCTCTTCCAACCCACCTGATTCAAATGATCAGGATTGTTATCAGGCTTCTGCAGAGCTTAATGATGAGCTGATCATTTGAATCAGGTGTGTTGGAAGAAGGAAACATCTAAAACATGCAGGATTGCGGCCCTCGAGGACCAGAGTTCGACACCCCTGCGTTAGATGTTCTACCATTTTACATTGAGCCTTGTTATAGGTATTCAGTGTGAAAGTCTTCAGTTTTACTTTGCTAACATGTTCAGATGGTGTTTATTACATGCTAGAAGATGTATCCCTTGTGAAATTATCCATCCACTATCTATACACCGCTTAATCCTCACTAGGGTCATGGGGGGCTGGAGTCTATCCCAGCTGACTCAGGGTGAAGGCAGGTTCACCTGGACAGGTAACCAGTCTATCACAGGGCCACACTTAGAGACAGACAACCAAGCACACTCACATTCACACCTACGGACAATTTACAATCACCAATTAACCTCAACATGTTTTTGGACTGTGTGGGAGGAAGCCGGAGAACCCGGAGAGAACCCACGCTGCACGGGGAGAACATGGAGACTCCACACAGAAAGATCCCACCAGGACGTGAACCGGCGACCTTCGAGCTGCGAGGCAACAGTGCTAACCACCGAGCCACATTGTGTAGTGTACAATAGTTTTACAGTGTTTGACCAGAGTCGTAGGTGAGCTGGTGTGCTAGAGCTGCAGCGGACCGGGATGAGTGAGATGGGAGATTGAGGCAGCCGCTTCACAGATCTGCACGTTGTAGAAAAAGCAATAAGAGAGTTTCATTTCAGACATTTTAAGGTGGATGACTTTCATGGAAAATAACACTTATAAATATGTAACTGACACACAGAGATGAGTTTTTTAGGATTTAATAAATGACCAGAGTTGGATTTTAACGAGCAAATGACCATAAAACAGACACGTTCTGTAGTCATTGCATTCGCCTGGTTACAAATACTCCAAGCAGCACATTGTGTCTTTATTTGAAGGATGTGCTGTCAGATTTTTTTTTTTTTCCAGCTGGATTCTCACAATTTATAGTTGTGAGAATATAGTTTACAGGCTGCTGAAGGAGGAGCCTACAAAGATTCTGTCAAACATTCCTTCTTTAGGTGAACCTGAAAACTACGAGCATCTGCTCGTCCATATTTCATGTAATGTGCTACAGTGCATAACATACATGTGCAACACGTGTTCTGCACAGACAGCTGAAGAACAACGTCGTCACACAGCTGTCTCAGTCAGTTCACATGTGGACAGAGGTGGGAAGTAATAAAGTACAAATACTTCTATCTACTTAAGTAGATTCTGCAGGTATCTGTACTTTACTTGAGTATTAATTTTTCTGATGACTTTTTACTTTCACTCCCTACATTTGAACACAAACATCTGGACTTTCTGCTCCTTACATTCTCTAAACTGGCTCGTTACTTGTTTCAGCCTCCGTCGATGACGACATGACGTAAAAGACGTAACAACAACCGTCTTTATCTTTACCAGCAGTCTGTAGTTTGTCACTGAAGCTCAACACACTCCTGGCTGCCTCAGCTGCCTGCCAGAGTCTGATGTTCAGACCCAAAAGGGCCCGTCTTCATTCAGAGAACTTTGAGAACCAGCTTCTGCTGAGGCTCAATAAAAGATGTTGGTAGTCTTGAAGAGAGACGAGCGTTTCCATGTTGATTATAATGTTTATAATGAAATGGAAAACTGTCCAGTGATGTGTTTCTCTGTAGCAGCTTCTTACAGGATGAAAACAATCCTGGTTTGGGGGCTTAAAACTTTTTTTTGTTTTGCAGAGTCATCAAAAGAGGCATCGCGTCTCATCGAAGCTAAAAATTCATTTTTACTGAACCTGTACTTTTTTACTTGAGTAAAGGAGTTGAGTCAGTACTTCTACTTTTACCAGAGTCTGTTTTTACACAAGTATCTCTACTTAAGTAAAGACTGTGAGGACTTTTGCCATCTGCATGTGGATAACAAACTGGTTTACAGTTCTACAAGCTAACACTGTGCATCAATCACAATAAAATATAGAACATTGTAAAAAGTGTCTGTTTTTAGTACTTTCATCTGGTATGTTTGGTATTTCTCTACTTTTATCTTATAAACTGAATAAAACAATAACTGCAGAACTCTAAGATGTGACTGGTCGGATATTTATTGACTATTTAAAGTTAAAGATGAAATGTAGAAGATAAAGAAAGAAAATTTATTAAAACCATCTCTTTTTTTAAGTAAAAGGCACACAATGAGCTGAGAAAAGACAAAGAAATCTTAAAGCTTTTAATAGCGATAATTATAAATACGCACATATCACGTATACACAAAGATGTTTCAGTTAAGTGTATAAAGCTCTCAGACTATTTAGGCATTTCCAATCCACACGTTGGCACAAAGTCAATCAAGTTCTAGATTTATAGCACAACTACTTCTACTGTTTAAAAATTTGGCAGCGCCCCACGGTGGCGGGGCGGACGTAATCCAAACATCGTAAGAGAGGATACAGTACACAGAAAATGACACCATGTGAGATCACTACATGACATTCAGAGTGAGAAGTTTAAAAGCCTGAGAAGTTGGATTTCCACTCAACAAACACACAAACTTTGGTTGTTGACAAAATGCACCAACATGTCAAGTTTCGTTACACTGCCGACGACAGCTAAAAGGAAAAACAAAAAGAAAGAAAAAAAAAAACTAGAGTTTTTTTGTTGTTTTTTTTTTAAAGTAACCTGGATACACGTTTCCAAAATCCAGTAAAGTACAAATGTAGAAATATCCGTACAGACAAAACATAGAAAGTTGTGTTCGTAAGGCAGAATAGCTTTTCTGGGGTTGTAAATGTTACTGTTGAGATAAAACACACCTGAGAGACGAAGCTCAGCAGGTTTTTATTTACAAATCAAAAAACCTTGAACGTGGTTATTTTTCTGTCACTGTAACACATCTACTGTACATACTGTACACCTTGAAATCACATTACTAGTTAATGTAAAAAGAAAAGAGGCTGTTAAAGTTGTAGTTATGTGTAAACTGAGAGAGAGCAGTGTGCGCTTTGAGAGAAACCCTCGAATACATCGACATGGACGTACAGCTCTTAACGATGACAGTTCCTTATCTTTGAATAGTGGCTATTATGGAAAGAAACCTCGTCTACACCAGCGTGCAGCGAAAGAAGCAGCAACAGCAGCAGCTACTCGGCTGTACAGGTTCCAGACTTGTAACTTAAAACTGTGTCTCAGGCGGCATCGGTTACAGACGCTACACCGCGTTACTTCATTGATATATAACTGGTCAAACTGTAGGCGTATTGTTTGCCGAATGACGACTGAAGCAGTGTAGACAGGGTGTCGGTGCACCAGGCGGACACAAAGAGAGCAGAAACAGACATCCCGAGAAGCCCCCAAAGCACATCCTTCCTCTACATAATACAGATGATTGTAAAAGAATACCATCATTTGCAAGCATTACTGAAAGACAATGACTTCTTACCTATGATGAGTGATGTGTGTGTGCATATAGAGAGATTACTAGTATTCATGCTTCATACCTCACTACGTATACAAATCCTACAGACGAGTCTTTCAGGCAGTGATGGATTTCAGCTAAGAGTGGTCGGATACACTGTGATTTGTTATCAGCACTACAGGCTTCTCTAAGCCACACACAGCTGCAGATCCTGGAGCTTGTACAGTAAATTTTCCATTATTTTTAGGTAATATTGTCGGGAGTCAAGTGTGAAGCTGTCAACCCGCCTCTCGCCCAGAACTCAGCTGGGATCCGATCCAGCCCCCCGTTAATTATTAACCTCCCGCTTCGAGGTTTTACAGCTCATAAATAAACTCCAATCACTGTCGGCAAGTGTCACATGTAAGGAATTACTGTCACATTCTGCCAAACAAACAAACGTATCTCTATATACTCATGAGTAAATCTAAACCTTAATCGTATTCCCAATGACGCATCATTTGTTCTTTAAGACGATCGATTGCTCACTGGATGAAAATCTGCTTTGACATCTCATGCTGCCTTTAAATCTTCACCAGCAGTTCAGAAACTGTGAAATTCTGCGATTCTGGTGCAAGAGGCGAGTTCAAGCAACGTCTAAAGGGTTATTCTGTGCACAGCCTCTATTTCAGGACCGACTTTTATCAGGTCAAGTTGTGCTCTGTCAGAAGCTGTGCTATGAGTTGTACAAACTGCAATAAACGAACAAGCCTACAGTTAGCATGCTTTTACGTTAATGTGACTGTAAGATATGCGACGTTTAGCCTACTCACCCACCGCTACCATGAACTCTGATTTGTTTATGTGTAATGGAAAATTTACTACAGAAACCAGAGACCAACCAGAGGAAATGGAAGCGGGGATCTTCTCCGCTCCACTTGCTGAGGTTGGTCGACATTACAGGCGTCGCGTACAGACTGCACATCGTATCTACATTTCACAGAGCTCCTGCCTGCAGCGGAGTCCTGTGGAGGAAACGTGGAAACAGGTCCTGGTCTCAGCACACGTGCTCCAGGTAGGCAGACAGCAGAGTCCGAGGAGGCAGAAACTCTTCCTGTTTGTTGGTCACTTCGGTCTGACGCGACCCCTTGTAGTCGGAGCCTGAAGGTCCAACAAACAGACTGTGGTCACTCTCATGTGACTGAAACACACTACGCTGGCTTTGTGAGTGCAACCGGGCTACGCACACGGGATTCTACCAAAACAGATGCGTTGATACGGTTTTTAAATGTCCAAATCTTTAGCAGAACTTTTTATGTTTATGTCACAGTGCACAAAACAGTCGTCAGATGATGAGTTTTTTCTTAGTATTTTCTTCTGGATGAAGCCATTCAGAATAACTCTAACGTATGTAGTGGAAGGAAAACATTATTGCCTTTAAATCACACATTAATGAGCACATTTTTCACAAGAAACAGACTTTAAAAACGGACTTTCCGGTGTTTAGAAAGGATTTGTATTTACGGTGGAAAGCTGTGACTAGTCTAATGCTTCAGCGTATCTGATGTGCTTTATTTCCACTCACTTGCAGAGATGAGGTCCATATACTGGCAGATGGCGTGAAGCAGCAGTCTCTCAAAGCTGATTGACAAACACAAACAACAGAAACATGAAACTCGCCCCTCCTCTGTGTCCTCCGACCATTTACAATCAACTTGACTTAAACTGGGCGTGACATCCTGTTTTTGTTTGTTTTGCTTGTGTTGTTTTCCTGCTCCTGCAGCTTTGTGTGGATCATTAAGGATTTCATGTAATCTAATAGAAACTGGTTTTCCAGGTGGGGAAACGCGATCCATCAGTCTGGCCTTTCAACCTGCATATCTGTCAAAGGCTCGGGACATAAGGTGTGCTAACGTGATCTAAAGATCTGCGTTGGTGGAAGATGGAAGATGATCCAGGAAGTCAGCCTGACTAACACATTTATAAGGTTAAAGGCCTATCAGGTGCCACAGCACTCCACCGTGGCTTTACATCTTGATCATTATCACTGCTGGCGCTGAGCTAACAGACTGAAACCTCTCCCATAGCCTCACTGCTGGAACTAAAAACTTACTATCAGACATTGAAGCGATGCAAGAAACTCAACAACAAACTTCTAAAACATTTCTGCATCTTCTTAGACCTTTGATGTACATATGGGAAAATGGAGGTTATTTGTAGAAATGACTTATTTCTATAAACCTCTGGGCTTCAGCAGGACTCAGCCTTTTTATGGCCCTATAAATAAACATGGATTTAAATTTAAAACCTGGCTTACGATCATAAATCAGCAGAATATCGCAATAAATCCAAATAAATATTTACCTACATTACAAGGGATGTGGAATTTCAGAGTAGCTCATGATGCAGTACTACAGCAACATGTTGCCCACGGTAACAACACAATCACAATGCAGCCATCCTGTCACACTCAGTACATCTCACAACATCCATCTACGATGCATCACCATATCTGTGTAACTGAGAGGAAACAACTAGTTCAAAACGCAGGAACTATGTGTTTATTTACTGCATTGTGTGGGTAATATCAACACTATTCAACAGTCATGAAGTAATTAATCTGGTGTCAAAGCAGCTGAATCTGTTTGAGCTGCCTGCATGTTTTGAGAAAAATATACAGTCGTGACTCGATAATCTGACACTAAACGTAAAACCTTCTTTTATGTCAAATAGCAAGGCTGTCGGATTATCGGCGTGGTCGGGGGACACTTCCACCTCGGGGCAGCGCTCCGACGGGACGGAAGTGGCCAGAACGCACAGGCAGTACTTGACTGCTGATGCCAGTTTAGTTAGTGGTCACAGTTCTGTTTCCACCATCGATGGCGCCACCATCCATGTTTACTTCTGTAAACACTGAGCAGGCTCAGTGCGTGTGACGTCGTCGTGTCCTCTTCTGCGCATGCGGGACACTTTTGGGTCGTATTAAGTTCACACAGCAGATCACATACAAGTCGCATTTAATTGGAAATGTGAAAGAACTCACAAAGAAATTGGATTTAACAAAAAAAATCTGAATTGAGCATGAAGTCCTGCAGTGTGAACGTAGCCAATCAGTGGGATTGTTCAGTCAGATAATACGTCGTTATCCTTATTTGTGACATAAAATGTCATGTTGGAGTCAGAATCCAAGGCTGTCGGTATGTTAAGGCTGTTTTTAATGGGTTCCGTTCATTTTTCATAAAAACCTGTTGGATAGCAAGGTTTAGGATTGTTAAGGGTCGGATTGTCGAGTCACGACTGTACATATGTATTTGGCGCCTGTGAGTGGATTATATATATTGCAAGAGGATGTGACACATGGTGATCAATGTTTTTCCAGACATATAAATGATTCTGACCTGGACCTGAATATGCATCAGAGAATAAAAAAGAAAATGAATAGATGGAGTTAATTTGTTCACTACTCATTATGAGACAGTACGCTTCCCGTCTACTGTGGCACAGACATTACTTTCTACAAGGCTGATGCTGATGTTGCATCTCCACTGGTAAAAAAAAATAACTAAAAAATCCCCTGTACAAAAGACTTTTTAAGATGCTGTAATACCTTCTAAGTCTTTAGAAAGAAGATTATAGAATATAGAAAGGAGATCCGTACCTGCTGGTGAGGTTGGTTTTGTAAACAGAGTGAGGTTGAGCATTAAAGAAGCTCAGAAGATTTTGCTCAAGAACTTCCAGCATTCCCTGTGAGGAGGAAAAAAAACAAAACAGTCGGTGGCAGGAAGAAGGTTTATTCACATGGTTTGTACTTGAGGAAAATGCTGGTGACCTCCGTGAGTTTCCTTCCTGCTACCACGTCTTTGTACATCATCTCCTATCATTTATAACAATTAGAAGAAACTGCATGTTCAGATGTTCTTCTTCATATAAGCCACATTCAGACGACAGGAGATTTAAGCTGATTTACCACCAACTGCGTCTGCTTATAAATCAGAGGATACGTCCTATCCAGGGCAGGTTTGTTGGAAATTGTAAAACAAATGATTTGTTGCTTTTGTGTGTAAATAATTGCAAAAGAATGATATCTGCGTTTTGGACCATTACTGAACAAAACATGGCATTTGAAGACAATCCACTTTCCTTCTAAATGACCAAAACTCTGAGGTAACTAACAGAAGAAAGAAAGGCTTAGACGGAGGAGAAATGAGTCAAACTCCTGAGGTTATTGTCATTGACTGAATGTTTACGTTTCGAGCACAGTGTGAGTTCAGAAGAAAGGATGACACTCACTATGGGCATCGTTTTCCGTTTCAGAGTTGCTCGCAGCCTGCGATCGATTCTGTGGAAGCATTCCTGAGCGCTGAAGGCAGGATTTACTGTGAGGAGACAAATGACAGTCAGCCAAACAGCGGCCCCTAAAACAAACAGCCGGCGAATAAACGCAAACTGAGACGCTCACCATTCCTCTGGTCCTTGAGGAGTCGGTTGGCATTTTTCTTCTTGGCCTCCTCCCGCTCCAGCAGAGACAGCAGCTTCTCCTGCTCCTCGCCAGAGCAGTTCATGAAGTCATTCCACGGCTGAAACAACAGGACGATGAATAACACAAGTCAGTTTGAAGCTTAGTGTTTTTGTAGCAGTTTAAAAGACAAAACATTTAACCAAACCCTCCTTATGCCACCACTGTGCTCACTAAGAAGCCAGTTTTTTTATTTTCTATTTGATAAACTGCAGGCTGGAGTGAACAAAATCTCAGCCAAGACTGAAAACAAAGAACTAAAACAACCACCACATTGTTTACACTTCTTTAAAAATGCAAACAGAATTTTAAAGCAGCTTCTTGAAGATCAACACAGATACTGTACTCCATGTAGGAGCTTTTATGTGTTACATGCATAGTACATCGACAATTTAAGGACATTGTGAGCAGACAGTATGTGTCTGTCTCTGAACTGTGTCTAGTGCTGCAAAGAAAGATGTCAAATCTGCAGCCAGGGTCACTGATGAGCGAGGCAGATGTGTACCTCTAAGTAGTTTCCGTTGGTGCAGGCCCTAGTGAAGATTGATGGGCTGGCCGGGTTACTGAAAACCTCCGGCTCATCTTTGGAGGACTCATCCTTCTCGAGCAGGTTAGTAAGATACCGCGCTGATTTTCACAAGAGAGCAGAGACAGAATGACGGTGGTTACACAAGCAAAACTTCATGGACAGATTTATCTATTTGAAGTGTTGATTCTCTGACATACAACTGTCGTGTCTGCATTTTTTTCTGAAAATGCTCTTTTTTAACTTGCTGAAGGCGCTGTATTTACAATTTCAGTACAAAGTTCATGTGTGTGCAAGTGACTTCACAATTGATCAGGCTTCCCCTTCACGCCCCTGGGAGCCACAACAGGCTTCATAAAAAAAAATGTTTCCCACTGAAACAGTAAACAGACCTTCATGTGTACAAATGGCAAGTCTTTAACTGCTTTTCCAGCATTGTTCAGGCTGCAGGGGAATCCAGCATCTTATTACGTGATCATATGAAATGGGAGCTTACCGTTCTCCTGTCGCCGGAGGCTCTTCTTGCCTTTGGCCCGAGGAATGAGGTCAGAGTTGCGGATGGCTTGGTTGATATAGAACTGCTTCCTTTTGGAGGGAGACACTCGCTTGGCAGGAGAGCTGGGCAGTGAGGAGCAGTTGCGCTCCTCTATCAGGCTGGAAAGAAAAAACACAGGAAAACACATCAGCTTATTTGATTGAAGTCTCACGTGCCATTAAGGTAAATTACCAGATCCTCATATCAGAATAATGTGAGCTGTTTGACATGTTGAGAGAGTTAAACCACTTTTCTGCAAACTCAGTTCAATTCAAATAACTTTATTTATCCCGTAGGGGCAATTCAAAAAACTGCTGCATACACTTGTTCACCTGTGGTTATTATAAAAATATTTTAGCAAAACATTTGCAGCAAAAATCCTCCTTTTTTCCAGTGGAAAATAATAATAATAATAATAATTGATCAGATTTATATAGCGCTTTTCTAGACACTCAAAGACGCTTTACACTGTCAATTATTCATTCACACACATTCATTCTGGTGGTGGTAGTTAGTCACAGCTTGGGGCAGACTGACAGACCACCACCTCAAACAATCCATTCATACGCATACACACCAGGCGAGGTGTGTGAAGTGTCTTGGCTGAGGACACAACAACCACGACACAGGTTACAGGGTGGAATCGAACCGCCGACCTTCTGATCATTGACCGACCCGCTCTACCACCTGAACCACAGCCGCCCCGAAATAAATGGCACAATTACCATTCACACTAAAATCATGACTCGTGCTGCCACATCTGATTTGTTTTGCATATTGTTTAGGCTTAATAGATAGTAGAAGTGGGAAAAAATCCTACGCTTATAACATGTGAAGGTTCACATCATTAAGACCAATATCTGAAATCAGAGCATTTCATGTAAGAACACTGTAATAGTGAACAATTAACCCTCCTGTTACCTTCAGATTTACTGACATCCTTGGCTTCAGTCTGACCCCAGCAATTTAAACCTCCAGAAAATTATCAGAATTAAAATCATTACCCAAGTTTATGTGTAAACAGCCCTTTAAATAAAACTAAAAATATATGTCAGTCACTTATTAGGAGATGTTAAACACTGACTGGGATCAAACTGACCCCAAAGATAACAGGAGGGTCAACTTGTTTGGTTTACTGGTACTTCAGCTCAAACATACTGAGGACTGCAGTGTTCCTTTTAATGTGGATTTCTGATGGAATGCCATTTACAGGTCAGAAAAGCTAGCACACAGTGAACAGAAAAAGGGTTTTTGTGACCCACTTCTCATTCACTTGAATGGATAAGTGTTCCTGCCCGGCCCGGTCTCTGCTGCATTTCTCTGAGCTCACAGTTATTGTTGTTCTGAAGCCAAAGACAACAGTTTATTTACTGCATTACAACTGGAAGCTGGCCATTACAACATAACAGATAAAAGATAAGATGGGCTGGATCAAACAGCGACGAAAGCTGATGATCACCAGCTAGAATAGGATGGATGGATGTCTCCCTTCGTGGTCTCTGCAGTGTCTAAGTGGAGCAGAGCCTCCTGCAGCAGCCTCAGATGTAGGTCAGTGGGTGCTGTGTGAGGAGAGGACCGCCTCTGCTGGGTTTTCTGCCTCTCCGTTGCCAACTTCTCCAGCTGATGCAATTTTTAGCCTGTGCCCTGCAGGTCAGCTACATAATGTGATGTAATCTGTGCCTGGGTTGGTTAGGTGTGTCCAAAATGTCCCACTGACGTGTCAACCTCAGCAAACCTGACGTTAATAAGCAGGCAGGTGGCTAAATACAGGTTTCACAACATATTTACATACAGGTCTCATGCCCTTTAAACATGTATTTAAACCACCAAGCAACTTGATTTTTGCATTTCACCAAAAAGCAAAGAAATCTGTGCATACTTTGAATAAGAGCAGAGCTTATCAGATAAATCTTGTGGTGAAAAGACGCAGTGGGGATTTAAAGACCCCGCAACCGACACGAACAGCTCGATAATTAGCTGCTACAGGGCTAGCAGGGACAGAGTTAAACTGCCTGGCAAACACTAAACATTTACGTTAAACAAACTAGCAAGAGGAGGTTTGCCAAAATCTGTCGATAAACAGCAACCTGGCAGGATTTCAGCCGAGCGAAAACCGACAACAACTCCAGAAACCAAAGCGAGCTTATTGACTCAGTAGTAACTGCAGCTAACGCTAGCTAGCGCGCTCTCGCAGCGGATGTTTCACTCACATATAATCCTGCTCTTCATTGTTGCTGTTTGTCAAAACGACCATCTTATTCACGCAGAAACGAACGGAAAGGTCCCACCGACTTTGTGCTGAGGGAACGTGTGAAAACAAGAGCGGTTTGTGCCGAAAAACAAAAGTTAAAACAAAGAGTGTCCTGCAGGTTCTCGGGTTAGCAGCTAGCTGCGGGCTGCTCGGCTTCACTGTGGGCGGAACCAGCGCAACAAAAATAGCTGTTGTCCTCCACAAACAAAGATGGCGGAAAAAAGTCAGAGCGCTCACTCTGTCACTGTTAACGTCGAAGAGAATTTGTTTTATTTACTTATATTATTATTATTATTGTTGTTGTTGTTGTTGTTGTTAGTAGTAGTAGCATTATTAGTAATCATAATCTTAATTTAGAGAGTGCCTTTTTCAAAACAGCTGACAAATGTCTCTACACAGAAGAAAAAAGCAGACAGAAAAATATCATAAAAGTAGTGAACTGCATAAATTAACCCTATTTAGGACTTTCTTGAAGGTCGAAAGGCTTGTTGGTATTCATTGTAAACGTTTATACGATGTTAAATTAATTTTCTGATAAGTTGACCTGTTCTAGGTTCGTGACGAATGTCCCTCTTTTTATACTTAAATCTTTAAAAATAAGAAAAACTAACACCTGTCACCTAAACCACATGGCCAGGGGTCCAAAAGACCCCAGAAGTCCTGAATAGGGTTAAACAAATTGTGACTAACACCACTAGACAATATATTTTCACACCACTTCTCTCTCTCTCTTAAACACACACACAAATCACACAACGACGGCTTTAATGAGACGGTTTTGTTCGACTCACTGCATCATTTCGTCTGAACACAAGACAGTTCGTTAAGGCCACAGTGTTCAAAACAAAAGATGGGCTGAACATGAGGGCAGAATCAATATATAATAGATAGATAATCAATAATGACACATTGGTTGATGATGCATGTTGTGCAGGGTATTGAATAAGCTAATGCATTCTGTAATGATGCTTATTTGGTTTGTTTAAACTCTCTGTGTAGCGTACGATAAACCTTTCTTTTTAAAGTTATTTAAACAGCTGAACAAGCCACAGACCACACTGACATGTTGTGATGTTATGAAACCGACATGGTGGATGTGTTCACAACCAGCTGTCTTTCATCATATGCAGCAGAGACATTTGGACTTGTGTCTTTCTCTCTGAAAGAAGTTCAATACTTTTGAAACAAGAGTTGATTGTATTTGTGGAGTTGTCGATACCTTTGACGAATCCCCACATCTCACTACTAATCAACACAAGGAGGGTAATGCCATCTTGTTTTTCTTTTTTTCTTTTTTAGATCGGCTCATCTGTATGTACCTGTATGTTAGAGTCTGTAGACCACGGAGGAGGCCTACAGAATTGGGAACCAGGCCCTGTTCAAGCAGGCCACAAACAGATTGACAAAGGAGATCAGGGTAGCTAGGAGGAGCTAAAAAAAAAAACTGCCTGTCAGCCATTGACCCTGCGTCAGTTTGGAGAGGCCTGCAGCACATCACCAGCTACAAGAGACCATCCCCCACCCTGTAGGAAACCTACGACTTTCTGACGCCCTGAACAGCTGCTACTGCAGGTTTGAGAAGCAGTCCTTCACACCTCCCACCCACACAATAGGACTCCCTCCAACCCCCACACTCATACCTTCCCTTCACCTACCCCCGCTGCACTGAGGATCTGTCAGGAGGACGTGCATCAGCTCTTTCATATCCCTTTTCCACCGAGCTGGTTCCAGTGCTAGTTTGCGGCCAGAGCCTGACTTAGCACCAGTTCTTTGGGTTTCCACCACCTATGCAGATGTATTGGAATGACTTCCAGGACACACAGAAGTTTTGCACAAACTGTTGCACACTGAAATCCAGTCTAATTTTGTCCAATCAGTAGCACGACAGTGGTGGAAAAGAGTACTTTTATAACTTTGGTGTACAGCAGTATTTATGCTTAGAAATGTTCTCGTGAAAAACGGAGCGCAACTACATGCGCTGTTTATTCTGCTCATAGAAAAGACAGCATGAGAAAAAAACGACGTGGTTTTATTTTGGACAAATCTGACTTTAGAAATAAGTTTAATCTTTTAAAAGTTGTTTTTGGTCGCACAACTGTGTGAGCTGTTACCGCAGCCTGCAATGTGGGATGTTCAGGGGACATTGGTAAATTGTAATGTCTATCAAGAGGAAAATGTTCAGCAAGTCATATGTTTTGCCTGTGACAAGGTGAGAAGTGCCACCAATTAAGAAAGTTGGGCGCACCAGTGAAAAAGTTAGTCTGGAGTCCTGTGTGGACTTCCGTGTGGTGCGAGCATTGTTCGGTAAACGGCTTCGTATGCAGTGACGTGTGGCGAGGCTCTAACTCGGCTCCTTGCCGATGGAAAAACAAACAGGTTCTTAGGAGGTGCGAGATTTGAACCAGCTAAGCACTGGAACTAGCACCAGCAAGGAACTAGCACCTGGTTCTTCTTGGTGGAAAAGGGCGATCAGAGACAGAAGGTCAGGAAGGCTCTGGGACCCAACGTTGTGCTCCCCTCCTGCCTGAGGGTCTGTGCTGAACAGTTGGTGCCCACCTTCACACTGATCTTTAACTGATCTCTGGAGCTGTGTGAAGTGTCCTCGTGCTTCAAACACTCCATCATCATCATCCTGGTCCCCAAGACGCCCTCCATCACCAGATTAAACGACTACAGGCCCATCGTCTGACGTCTGTTGTTATGAATTCCTTTGAGAGACTGGTGTTGAGCCACCTGAAGGACATCTCAGCACCCTGGTGGACCCCCTGCAGTTTGCCTACTGAGCAAACAAGTCAGTAGATGATGCAGTCAATGTGGAACTACACTACATCCTGCATCACTTTGACTCCCCAGGGGTGTACACGAGGATCCTGTTCATGGACTTCAGCTTGGAGTTCAACACCCTGAAATCCTCCACCGAAAGCTCCCCCAGCTCACTGTGCCCACCTCCACCTGCCAGTGGATCAGCAGCTTTTTGACTGACTGGAGGCAGCAGGTGAGGCTGGGGAGCAAACCTCAGGGATGCGTCCTCTCCCCACTGCTCTTCTCCCGCTACACCAATGACTGCACCTCAGGGGAGTCATCTATGAAACTCCTGAAGTATGTGGACGACACCACTGTAATCTGTCTGATACAGTCAGAGGTGGAACAGCTGGTCCACTGGTGTTGTCAGAACCACCTGGAGCTGAACCCGCTCAAGACTGCAGAGATAACAGTGGACTTTAGGAGAAACTCCCCGACATCCATTCCCTCCCCATCCTCAACAGCATAGTGTCTACTGTGGACACCATCAGGTTTCTGGGATCCACAATCTCTTTAGACCTGAAGTGGACTCCCCACGTAGGCTCTGTCCAGAAAAAGGTCCAGCAGATGTTATACTTTCTGCAACAGCTCAGGAAGTTTAGCCTGTTACAGGAGCTGCTGAAGACCTTCTACACCGCCACCATCCAGCCTGTCCTCAGCACTTCCATCACTGTCTGGCTTTGGGTCGGCCACCAAACAGGACAAGCAGAGACTGCACAGGACAATCAGGTCTGCAGAGAGGACAATTGAGGACCTCCATCCAGGACTTGTACCTGTGCAGGGTCAGGAAGCGGGTGGGTAGCATCTCTGCAAACCCTTCACACCGTCTGGTAGGCGCTACAGAGCACTGTAGGCCAAAACCACCAGTCACAGAGACAGTTCCTTCCCTCAGGCTGTTACTCTGATGAACTCAACAGTCTCAGACACTCAGGAACCACTGGACAATAATCCACACCCACACATATTTGCACTGTTTTAAATATTACCACACCTACCTCAGTAAGCCTGCTTCTTTGTACAGATATTGCAAACACCGCTGTTTGTTGCTCTTATTTTTATTGTCCGAGTTTATTTCTTTTATTTCTTATACAGAGAGCTAAGACTCCTCAGAGTCAAATTCCTTGTTTGCGTGTACAGACTTGACCAATACAGTTGATTCTGATGTGTGAACGGTGTGGATCAGGGGATTAAAAACATCCTGAGTGGGTCATCCTGCTAATAGACAATCTTCGACCCTCCTTAGCAAACAAAAATTCCAGCTAAACTTCAAAATAAAGCCTCTGCCACCTCCATCATCTTTCTAATCCACCATCTTGGAGCAGCTCATGTTCAGGCATTATTCCTGCTTTGATTTCAGTCCACTTCTTCCACTCATTCAGTGTGACTGGAGTTTGTGTGCATGTTACCATAACAGCAGGTTTATTAGGGCTGCCACAGAGTCCTCTGATTGTTCTGAGTCTTTCTCACTCATGAAAGGGAGTCCAGTCTAACAGAACAGAGAGGGAGGCTTTTTTTGCTTTATAAAGTCATGAAGATATGTCTGGATGACATCAGAGGAGATTCTCAACAGTGTTTCTACATGAATTTTGGAATGAGGAAAGAGAAGAAGACTTGGATGGTCAAGTTAGAAAACCCTGAACCAGACTCTGGTCTACTGATTGTGAGTAAAGTAAAGAAATCCATTCGAACTGTGAAGCCAAAAGAGAAGATTAAAGAGACAAACAGCACAGACAAAGGTACGACCACATGTGAGACATCAGGGAATATAATGAGGCTTTGCGTCAACTTAATGCCTGTTTTGGCCTCAGCAAAGGAGCCTGCGGAGGACGAAGAGGAGAAAGAAGACGGTAACAGCTGCGAGAGTGAAGAAGAAACAGAAAACAGCTGTGAGAACGACCCATCTGTCAGCAGATCAGTGGAACGCAAACACAGTTCTGGAGATTCTCATTTAGGATTAACTTTGCAGGAAACAACAGAAACCAAACAATCACTGAGTCCTCGGTTTGTGCTGCCGCCTGTAACTCAACTAAAAGCAGCTTCTGAGTGCTGTGATGGTCAGAAGACTAAGAGGAGTCACACCCCTCTGCCTCCCATCGCATCACGTCAGCAAGCAGCAGCCACCTCTGCAAACATGAGAGTGAAAGGCTGTGGAAGTGACGGAGCGGCTACAGAACGAGACAGCAGGCCCTGGATGGACAATCCCCTCTTCTCTAAAAGTGTGAGCTCATCTAAAAATGATGTTTAGTGTCACGTTTCCGGTCATCAAAGAGGTCTGAAAGCTGCTCCGTAATATCTGGAGACAGAACATGAGAGCTGTGAGACAGACTCTATTGATTTTACTCATTATTTTGTGGAGAACATTTGTTGGTTGCTTTTATCTCAGATTAAATTTGAAGACTGCAGAAGTAGTTTTAAAAGAACAACTTGTGTAGAAGCTGAAAATGTGGAGTTTTTAAAGACAAGGACAGCGGTCTTATGGGAAATGAGGGATCCAGTGTTTCTGGGCCTCGTTCCACGTGATACTTCAACCTCTTCTGTCTTTTGTTTTTTTTAACTCTGTCTCTCAACTTGGAAGTACGACATTCAGTCTGTAGAGTTTGCCTGTGGGATTTATATCAGTCTTTAATTTCACAATTAAATTTTGCACCAGGAAGCTGATTTTAAAAGCTAGAAATCGTAGCAGCTTCCTGAACAATGACTCATGTCCACACCTAAGCAGCTCAGATCATACTGAGGTCATTCTTTGACTGAGAATCTTCACTTTCTTTAGTTTGATTCAAGTGCTGAAACAGATGCTAAGAAACATCGAAGGTTTTGCTCAGTTTACTACCTTTAAAATGTTTAAATCTTTGCAAATGTTAAAGATGATACAAGTAATTAAATGGATCATAACAAACCCTTAAAACTGGGTTTAAAATGAAACTTATGAACAGTTAATAGTACTGACTATGGAAAATCTGGTACATACAAGCCTCCAGCAGCAGCTAGATATTCTGCAAAAACACAAACAAGCAGAACTAGTACAACACAAAGTGCATTTAAAGAATCATTTTAAAGCTTTAAAGCTGAGTTTGTTGTAAAATTGAGCATTGGGTGTTTTTAAAAAAGTGTGTTTATCTGGAGTTACCTCTTCTGTCTGCAGAGATCCGCTGAGTTTCGTCTTCCAGACATCTCCTTGTCCAGCCTGGATGCTCTGCTGCAGACGGTCACTCAGAAACTGGGGAGGAAGAGGAGAGGCGGCGACGAAGCACTATGGAGACGAGTCCAGTCCGACGGTCTCCTAGTGGCTGTTAGAGAACAACGCTTCAGAGAGATGAGCGCCGGGCGGCAGGATGGAAACGTGGCCGACCTGTATGTTTGGTGGAGTTTGGCACAATTACAGGGGAACGTAGAAGAGTTCTGTTAAGGTTAAAGTTATTCATGTTTAGTCTCCTGAGCATCTCACATTTTATTCTTGAATAGATGAATTACATTGCATGACATAAAAAATGCATGCAGTTGCCCAGCATGAGAGGAAATGAATCCCCTCATCTGAACCCATCGTAGGAATGTCAACTAACACTAATACACACATTATTACACACACTATTACACAGAGGTGTAAATATGTAAAAACGTATTCAATAGCTTTAACAGAAAAATGTCAAAACTTGGACTTGGTATGATGGAAATGTGGATTTTTTCTTTAATGCGTCGTCATTATTAAACTTGCTTTTTAAAGGCTTCAGCAGTAATTTGTCCATAAGCAACTGATGCTAGTTTCCTATGAACTAAACACAACTTTTGACCCTGAAAAAAAAAATCACCAATATTTTGTAATTTTTGTAAAATGGTTCAATTTAATGATATTTAGTGTTTTAAAATTTGGTGACTGAAGTCTGACAATATCGATCATTATT